ATGAATATCTGTAGATATAAAAATACTGGCTGCTAAGATGACTCTAAGTTTCCAGAGACCTGAGAGAAGAGGAACATTGCAACTTAATATGGTTTCACAGGACACTTTAAAAATGTCGTGAGAGTTTTCACAGAAGAAAATAGCAAAAACTATGAAGTGACTTACTGACTTGAAGCAAAAGAACACATTTGTATATTATAGATCTACTATGATGCATGTGAAACGCAACATGTGAAAGAAACCTATATGTGTTTGCCGTGGACAGGAAATTTAATCACGTCAAACAACTGCTGTGGTCAAAGCTACAGGAACTGTTTGAGGTTAGTGTAAAAGCGAAGGAACCACAGAGAAGTGACAAACAGAAAAAAAAGTCAGTGAAAAGCAGATCATATCTGGTTTTAACTGCAGCTTCTATTTCTACATTTATTATTCATACAAAACACTTTGTGATCATCTGCATCACATCAGAGTGGATCAGAGTGCAGAGATGATGGGGCACACTTTGCTCTGTATGACGGGGTTTTTCTGTAAGTACATTTTTGATACTGTTTGAATCACACTGATCAATGAAAATATTTAATATTTGTTAGAATTACAGTGTATCACTGGTTTAAATTGTTTAACTGAGAGTTTAAACTGAGAATATTTGCATTTTTTGATGATTTTCAAAGCAAAATGTTGGTTTGTATCTTGGCTCAGTTTAGTGTGGAGCGTTTTGTTGGATACACCTTTGGTTTTTGCATTTGACTCATTTTTATTGTTTGAAATTTGTTACATTAATTTAAAATGTTAGTTTTTTTGTTTCCTTACATTTTGAAATGTCCCAAAATTACTTTATATGCTCAGAAACTTTTTGATGAACTTTGAAAATTCACCTTTGCAAAAAGCCCGAGGTCATCGTGAGTATTATTTTCTGTCAGTTTGAGCCTCATCACTTTTTCATCTTTACTTTAGTGCTCAGTACAGTCTTCTATGGAAATACTCAAGGTGAGATGTTTTTCTTTTCTTC